TGTTTTGTTTGACCATTAGGAAGAGAGTTACTTCTTACATTGCACTCCACAGAATTTCTGACCCATAGCTTCAGTGATATTTACCTACATGCTGTTCCACCATTCAACAACTGATTGAGTGGGTTACTTTGCTCATAGCAAACGAACAAGATGGAATCCATTATCTACTGCAACAGGGAGATAACTACAGAAGTTGTTTGTCCTAGCACAAGAGAATAAACTATGCAGAAAACTATAACTCTAGATGTTATATTTGCCTGTCATACAGGTGTTAAAGATGAGTCGTCTCTCACAAAAAGAAAAGTGGCAACTCTAAATCAACATTAACTCATCTTGGCTTTATGTCGATCCTATCTCCCGCCTTTGGCCCCTAACTATTCTTTATTACCATTGTTGAAAGTGAAGATGTCACCTCATTACCATACCCATGTTTTGCATTTCTGATACAATATATTCAATCTTGTTATCCAAATTGCAGGGAGTCCTTTAAGGCACCCTGAAATTAATGTTAGGGTAATTAGCTCAAAAGACAGTTATAGCATGGCTGGGGCAACAGACAGCCTGGGATAGCATTCCAAATTATACTAGGTCCAAATTATACAGATCTCCAGAGGCAATTCCAAATTAGCTGTACTTAATTTAAGGGAATGAACAATATCACTCGTCCCAGCTTCTGCCAATCTAGCAGTTTGAAAGCATGCAAATGCAAGTAGATAAATAGGCACCACTTCGGTGGTAAAGTAACAGCATTCCTTGCAGTCATGCCAGCCACATGACTACCAGAGTCATCTTCGAACAACAATGACTCTTCGGCTTAGTAACAGAGATGAGCACTGCCCCCTACAGTCAGTTACAACTAGATATTCATGTCAAGGGAAAACCTTTAACCATTATATTCTCTCTCACAGAGACACACACTATCTGCCCATTGGTATGTCTCTCCACAAGTAGTTCACTCTCTATATCTGATGAAGTAGATTGAGTCCACAAAAAACTTCTACTACAAACTTATTTGCACTGGCACAAAGGACACGAGGTGCCTCTTTTTGGGTTTAAACAGGCCACAACTTTTATTTAGCTGTAGGGTCTATTTACAAACCAATAAATATTAACAAATTTGTCACGTGTGTAAGTGAAGGTGTAACCCCCCCCCCAAAATGGGTGGTCCTTCACTGCACATGACAAAATAAGTAAACAATAATATCAACAAATTTACAAACCCTCCCCTCCGGAAGTGTCGTCATATTACGTCATATGACGTCATACAAATTAATGACATCATGCATTTAACTGCATACATCATTTCCTTTACATTTGTCTTATATCAATTTTACCCCAATTAATTTAAATAGCCAGATTAATTTTCCTGTGGGGTGAGGGTCATTACCCACCCCCTAAAGTACAAGACAAGCAATTTTAAATTATAGACCCTACCCTTAAGCTGTGACAAAGCAAATAACAAGAACAACATGAAATATCACACCATGACCTATTACCCCAAAATCAATTTTGATTAATAATCTCAGGGAGGGCAAAAAAACCCCAGGAAGCCCCATGGGAAAAAAATTCTCTCCCGGCCCCCGAAGGCGATCAGCCTAAGCCTGAAAGTAACGATTTATAGCTTCTTAATAAAGGGTTGGTGGGATGGGTCACTCAGTTCAAGCTCGAAAATGGCTGCCTCCACATGGCAGCACAGAGCTATAAAGAACAAACTCTAGTCCCAAGTCTTGTGAGACCAGTAGCACCGCGAGACTTAGAGTAGCAACCAAACAACCTGATTGGACAAAGCGTGCAGGTGTTCTCATTCCCCTGTGCGCTTTGACTAACCAGGCATCTCATGTCCTTATTTGGCAAGCACAACAAGAAACCCCTCCCGACTCGTCGGGGGGTGTGTGTCTTTCTCTCTGTTTCAAATGTGCTACATGATCCTTTATGAATATATTACTATATTTATTTATATCCCCCTTTGATCTCAAAATTGGGATTATTCAATACAGAGAAATTTGATGCTAGTCTTTAAGAGCTAAGCATTGAAATCCCTGAGCCTAGATGGAAGGATTAAATTCTCATCCATCCCCAGTTTCTGGGGAAGAAGATGACCTTTCATATATCAAATAGTGCAAATTGAGTCCACTTTAAGGGTTAGGGTTAGGGAATCATGGGAACTGTATTTTATTGTGGCACCAGAGCTCTCTGACAGAGAAGGCTCAATGTCTCAGAAAAAAAAAATTCCCATGATTTCCTAGAACTAACCCTAACCCTTAAATTGGACTCAATTTGCACTATTTCTGGCAGTCTGCAGTCAACTAACAAACACAAACAATTGCATTCTTAAGAGTGTCTGGCCCAATATCTTTATCATAACTTTGCTACTCCTGAATGGTTTTGGCTTTGTTATGGGATATGTGAAAGGAGTAACACAACAAGCAAATAAAATCATTCATGCTTTCAACCTAGAATCATAGAATCATAGAATCATAGAATCATAGAGTTGGAAGAGACCACAAGGGCCATCCAGTCCAACCCCCTGCCATGCAGGAACTCCCAATCAAAGCATCCCTGACAGATGGCCATCCAGCCTCTGCTTAAAGACCTCCAAGGAAGGAGACTCCACTACTCTCCGAGGGAGTGTGTTCCACTGTCAAACCACCCTTACTGTCAGGAAGTTCCTCCTAATGTTGAGGTGGAATCTCTATTCTTGCAGCTTGCAGCTTTTGTTTCTGGTCCTAGTCTCTGGAGCAGCAGAAAACAAGCTTGTTCC